GCGACTCAAAGACACACTTTCAACACCATGTACACTGCACTAGTCTCGCCCTCCACACTCTCCCTCGGTTATCTTACTCCCTCCTTGCTCATATCAGCAAGGCTATCAACAGTTACCCGCCCCTGTTTCCTAGCCGATGCAGGTATCTCCTGTGTAGAATTGAATGTCCAAATCTCAGCGGGGCAGCCGTAAGTGCTGGAACAATCATGGAGACACAACATCCCACTACTGCCCAGCCCGCCTTTTCCCCCATCACATTTGCTAGACGATGCAATACGGTCCCCCAGTACTGAGCCCCACGTCTTCCCAAAGCCAAAGCGCTGCTGTAGCTCTTAAAGCACCACAACACATACATCGGCCCAAAAGTGTCAGCATGAAACCCACACCACTTCAGAGGCCGCCGACTTTTTTTTTCAACGGCACCCAGCACGGCATGGCCCCTCCCAGTTTTGCTTGTGGCGACAAAAACTTGCAAGGCTGGGGCAGTGTACTTGCAGTTCACTGCATATCACCTGCAAACAACGTGGAGTTGTGAATGCTACTGCTCCCCACTGCCTCTTGCACGCTTCCATCCACCCTCCCCCTCCTAATGCACCCCACACCTTCCCCCTCCTGATGCATCCCACACCCTCCCCTTCCCGCTGACATGGACCAGTCAGGGACCTGTCGGATTTTCTGCAGACCAACCTAATGGCAGCTTATCAGCCTTTTCGACAACCAATCGAACTGAGAGCTTTGCAATGGGGAAGGAGGTCGTATAACGTGCGGTGAGCATGGTTCATCATCATATGAAGACCAGAAAAACACAAAGCGTCATCTAACAAACAACCAGATAGAGGGCAGACAGATATACACACAGTCTCAATTCCCAGTACATTGCTCGAACAGCAACATAAAATATGTCATAAGTGAGCAAAAAAATCAATTACCGTCAATCAACACGACACTCGAGCAGCAGCAAGATTTCCCTACTATGTTAACCTGGGCACTCGGTTGCAATAGGGCCAAGGTAGGCCACTAGGAGAGTGTTGGTAGGAGTAGGACAGGACGTGATAACCGCAGGTAGAAATGTGAGGTCCCCGGCCTTGATTGAATTTTGTCTTTCGAAAGATGACAAGTGTGCTGTTTTAATATTTAAAAAAAGAAAAAAGTCCAGGATCGCCTCCGTGACCTTGATATTCCCACAACCGCATACACATCATGTTTTTTTTTTTTTTTTTTTTTTTTTAATTCATTTGACCATGCAGTTCATGAAGCTGTGGGATCCAACACAATTCTTCACAATGCCAACTTTCCCATATCCATCTGGGGTTTCCACTTGGGTTTCCTCATCCTTTTTAGAGTTACTACCAGTCTTCAAAGTCCAAAACTTCTGTCACAACTCTCACCATGCAATTGGTCACACTGGATGTTAGGACTGGGCTCACCAGAAAGGCAAGAACTGGAGGCAAAGTAGCACCCACTATGTGCATTCATCTTCCAGGGCAGAGCTTCATTTCATCTCCCACATGTCGGATGCGAAGCCTTACTTCAGCTCCCTTGTTCAATATGACAGCTTTAACTAGATCCTCCTGCAGTGCACATGTTATGTTGGCCCCTCCATCATTCCCCTCTCTACCTACCCCATGCAACCTCTGTTTGCCTGCCAGTAGACGTTTCAAAAATTTGATGTCTGCTCAACAACATCAAGGAAGAAAAAAAATAAAAATAAAAAAACATTCCGCGCTACCCACATCTTCTAGGGGCATTTTGGCATTTGTCACAACTTATAGGGGTATTTCCCAAATCATCCCGATTTGAAATACTTCAGAACCCACATCTTTTAGGGGCATTTTGGCAAATGTCGCAACTTATAGGGGTATTTCGCAAATTATCCCGATTCAAAATACTTCAGAACCTTGGTTAGAACGCAAACTAAGACGCAGTGGCCTTATACAGGTGCTGTCATCCTTTCTTTTTCTTTTCTTCTTTTTGTTTTTGGAAAATCATGCTGCCATCCTGTAGGGAAATACCCACAGCAGGGCGTTTCCTATCAAGCAGAGTCTAATATATATTGTCATATATCGTCACAAACAGAACTGCCCGGTAAACCGTAGGCATATATATATATATATATATATATATATATATATATATATATATATATGCTGCAGTGAATACACCCTCATGAGTATGCATATTTTAGCCCTGTGGGCCCAGAATGGGACCGGCTTCACGTATCGCCTATGTTGGTGCCTTCACCACCATGCCTGCCCACCCACTCCCGCGCTCTGTTCAGTCCAAAGCGTGTCTGTTTCATGTGCTATTCTTGAACTCCCAGCAATTGACTGTATATACCTGTACTGTTATACATCCATTTCACCTCCCTTATGTCTTGGTACCTCCACCATCATCCTTTTATAATCCCTCGTCAAGCTCTGCCGGCCAATGTGTTACGTCATATGAGCAATTTTAGAGTTCACAGCAAAAGACCACTTCAGAAACCTCGCCAGATACTCACTGGCTCTCTGCATGCAAAAAAAAAAGACCCCTGTAGCCGTTTCCGTCCTATTTTAGGCACACACTTCACCTGACAAGGTCTTCCCAGAGGAGGAAGCTCAGCAGGAGAACGGAGCCATACCCTCTCGAGTTTCTGAATTAAGCACGCACTCATCTTCACCAGTAATGTCCATCATGTGTGGTACACCTGTATTTGCAAATAGACACAGGATTCTCCCTCCTGCTCTCTCTCGGTACAACCACCCAATCATGTATTCACCACCGTTCCTGTTACAAACCTCCGCTGCTCCCAGTTAAGCCTCGACACTACGTTTGTCTGAGTACCATTTCCTGCCGTACAAATTCTCAAGAGGAATAACATCCTTGGCTTCCTGAGTTCTCTCTCTCTCTCTCTCTCTCTCTCTCTCTCTCTCTCTCTCTCTCTCTCTCTCCACACACACATACACATGCACTTCTCTCTCTCTCTCTCTCTCTCTCTCTCTCTCTCTCTCTCTCTCTCTCTCTCTCTCTCTCCCACACACACATCATTCCACAACAGCGCAAAACGAAATCAATTC